ATAACAAAGCTCACCCTCGGCGAAATCGACGCTACGTTGGGGGGTGCGGGACGACGGCGAATTAGCCGTCGAACCCGCCGAACCTCGCCTCGCTCGCGTTTTTCATAACGATGCTGGTCTATCGATTGCCAAGAATCTACCGATCGCGAGAAAATTAGCTGAAAGTTCGGGTAAGCGGGTGCGAGGGCCCGTCCGCAATTGATTGGTGGCTGCTTCGCCTGAAAGCGGACCGTCCTTTCGAATTCGACGATTCTAAGATTCTACGATCCTAACGTGCGCATTCGGTACGGAGGCACGGAAAGTTGGAGAGAATAGTTGGATGGATAAGAAAGGCCCGATTGCCGATTGTTGGTGGATTGTACGATTTGATGGTCAAACGTTTTATTAGTTAAATTAGCGTTACTTTTTATGTATCTTTATTGCAATTGTTAAGAGCATCGCGAGGAATTTTTTTATTTAAGCGAGTATCTGCGGCAGTAAATCAATGACATTGAGATACGAGTGGCGGAATCGATGTCTCCAGCGTAGAAGAGACGATGCCATTGAGATGCCAAATCTCATCTTCGATTCATAATTAATAATCGCTCATCCCGTCAAGACATTCGATCATGCATTTAAAGAGTGTAGCAACATTATTAAGTATAACGAGTGTACTCTGACCAATTAAACTATTATATGCCTATTGTCGTTGTATGCAAGTGAGCAAAAGTACATCTCTTTTATGTATTAATAAAATACTTGGATAAGTTTTTGTGTGTCAATAAACTTCGAGAGTAATAATGTACAGTGATAAATAAAGTATATCGTTGGATGTATACTTCCCGTATAATATGGCACGGGAGTGCTTCGTGTCTATAAAAATTACGTCGATAAATCTTAATCTGAGAATACAGGAAAAGTAAAACAAAAGAGTTTGGAGAACTTTAGATCAACATTTATATCTGCCGTATGAAAATAAATGATTTAACGAATTAATGTAAGAAATTAATGTACGAAAAAGTAAAGAGTGACACACTTTTACGAAATGTATTAGACATATATGATGAAATAGGCTTAAAAAATGGTGGGAAATTAATTTATCAAATTTTTTTTACATCTCTTAAAGTGATTGACTCGATTCTTTCCAGTTAATTATACCAATTTTTATAGGTTAGCCGTGCTTAAGCATTAAAACGCTTCCACCAAGAAGCAAAAATGCAGAAAATAAGAGAGAACTGGGGGAGGGGGAGGGTTGAGAGAGAGAGAGAGAGAGAGAGAGAGAGCGAGAGAGCGAGGCAGAGACAGAGACAGTGGTAAGACAACGACGAGAAGAGTAAATGGATGGCATGGAAAGGCGGAGGTGGATATAGGAAGCGAGATAATGATTGAGTGAGAAAGAGAGACAGAGACAGAGAGAGAGAGAGAGAGAGAGAGAGAGCGTGTATGTGTGTGTGTATGCTCGTGTGCATGTGACAGAGAGATAAAGTTATCGGTGAGCTGAAGAAATTACATGAGGAAAATTTTTGTGAAAGAAGACATTTTTATTGACAAAAGTAAATGGGCGCTGTGCGAGTGATTGGCAGCTTTGATCCTTTAGCAGACACAATATGAACGATCGTCGGGCTGGAGAAAAAAGAAACGGAGCCGGCCGCATCTACTAGAGGATTTACGAAGATTCTCGAGCCGAGGAACTAATGATCGTCAGTGTTTGCCACATAAGTATATTATAAAAGAATGTGGATCTAACGCGTGGCATAGCGCAATCGGAGCGAGAGTATCGAGCAAAGTCACTGCCCCTAATAATTCCCGCGGCTTGATTATCTCTCTCTCTCTCTCACTCTCATCTCTCTCTTTCTCTCTCTCTCTCTCTCTCTCTCTCTCTCTCTCTCTCTCTCTCTCGACCTGACTGATCACAAGAAGAGGTGCTCGAGATGAGTCGACGATATTTTACATTACCGACTCAATTGCCACTAATAAGTTTGTGTGCATGTCAATATTGCCTCTTTTATTTTTTTAATAATAATGCTGATCGTATTTATTATGACGCTCGAGCTTTAGCCTCTTGTATTTATTTACAACCGTCTTAGCAAATAATTTAATGAACTTTAAGTCGACTTTCAAGTTAAACTCTAAATGAACGTTTTGGAAATTAAGCGCAGTTAAGAGATTGACGTCGCAGCCGGGCTAAGTGTATGCAAAATTGAAAAATGTCGACATTTTAACAATTTTCATTATTTCATTAATATCTATTTGTGTAGAGCTCCAGTACATGCTAAATATAATGATAAATGATTAATATACAATCTTGGAGAGAATAGTGGTGCAGTTGTTAGAAGAGAAGTTGTGGGGTGGTGCAAGAAACAAGAGCAGATATTGTTATTAAATTTATTTTCACATGACATTATCAACAAATAAATAAATATTATTGCCTTAAATTTGGAAATTCATATCATCATCGATAACAGAAAGTGACGATTTAAAAAATTAGGTATATACATAAGCGCTGGGAAAGATCGCATCTTGAACCGCGCGAATGCACTCCACGTCAATTTTATTTTGCCGTACTTGCAAGTCAACGTCCCGTCCTCGTTTTGCCCACACCCTTCCATTATCACGCGCTCCCGTATCTCCCCCTCCCCCTTCACCGCCCCATACCAACCATCCGCCACGCAATAACTCAGTCATCGCCCCATTATCAATTCGCCGCCACAAATACGTTTTCCGATTTCTCGCGCAGTGGAGAAATTATCCGGTGCGCGGTGACTGAGAAGGGATGCGATGTTATGACGGGACATTTCATGGCTCGTAGGATCCGGAATCTAACGGCCCCTGCGATATTAGCGCGAGAGAGTTAGCAAAGGCATCACAAGGGACTGGAGGGGTGGAGGAGAAGCTTCCCTTCCTTTCCCCAGATTTCGCACGAATCGACGGTCCCCTCGTCGTCCCATCCGCCAACCTCACCCCACACCACGGCAGTTCATCATGGATATTTGCTTTTTATCAGCCCTCGCGGGGATGGGATAGCGGCGATGAATCGCAGTTCGTGTCTCTCGCACGGGAATTTATATACGAATTTGCGAAAGCCCCGTTTCCTTTATTGCTTAACGTTCGCGGAGAATGGGAGGACGACGATTATTACGATTAATCGCTAACCCTCGATAATCCGTACGTTCGTAGAAGACGATCTCGACTACGAACTTGTAAGGTTTCGAAGCATTACGATGTTCACGATAAATTTACGTTCACCGGCCGCGAAATAGGTGGGGGTGTGGAAGGATGTCGAGCAGTTCGAGGCGGTTGAGACGGCAAGAGCGGCGTTGACGAGAGCAAGGATTCATGAGCGAGGAGCAAACGTTGGTCGTTTTATTTTTTGCATTTCTTTATCTCTAGCGCATTACATGCGCCTCATTTGGAAAATAAAAGAATCGGTTTATGAACGCTAAGGAGTTATTTATAATCGTTCGATTAATGAAAAGTGACGCGTGCATTTCGTTTTACTCACAAAAGCATCGTTTATTTTCCTCTGTATCTCATTTTTCTTTTTCTTTTTGTTTTTTAAATGAATTTATAATCTTCATAATAATAATCTAATAACTAATAATAATAATAATTAATAATTAATAATAATTAATAATAATTAGTAATTAATAATAATAATTAATAATAATCGTAAGATACTAGCATCGAGATTGGGCCGATCGTCGTGATATAAGAGGACCTGCTTCGCGCTCGCCCGACCCATAATAATTTTTTTTCAGTATTTCGACGAGACAACTTGATTTCATTTGATTTCTCTCTCTCTTTCTCTCTCTCACCGTCTCTCACTCGCACTTCCTCTCTCTCTCTCTCTCTCTCTCTCTCTCTCTCTCTCTCTCTCTCTTTTCATCGAGCTCTTTCGATCACACAGTCTCTCTCATTCACACACGCACACGCACAAAGCCCCAGAGGCACGCAAGCATACTATCTCTTTCGCTCTCTTCATATATATATATATATATATATATATATATATATATATACATATATATATGCTTGTATGCATTTATGTGTGTGTGATTATATGTGTGCCTGTGGGTATGCGTGTATGTATGTGTATACACACAAACATTCGAAACATTGCCGATTGACATACTCTTCCAATGTGGAGATTCGAGAACCTTTCACAAAATCGGCGAAACTACGCGCCATTTTTGTGATAGTCGCATTGTGCTTTCTATATAGAACATCATCTACGTATCTCAAAACGTGTACGTATGTATTTGTGTATGTATTATTATTAGGGCGTGCTTACGTTGTGTGAATCCTCCGTACCGTGTTCTATTAATAATCGGTTTTCTCTTATCTCGTTGTCTCATAATCGCACGCAGTTCATAACTCACGCATTCATCGACGCAGCTAAAATTTAGTATCTTTTTACAATGTATGTGACAATGTCGCAGCGTTTAAGTAGCCTAACGCATAGAAAGAAAACAAGGCATCCATTCGTTGTTCATTCGCTCACTCGCGCTCACGCACGATTTAGTCAAGCAGTCGCGCGCACTATGTATAGCTATTTACACGTGTATCCATTAACGGGAGAACGACTCTCTTCCTCTCTCTCTCCTTGCAAATAATGATAATAATAATAATAATAATAATAATAATAATAATAAGAAGAAGAAGAAGAAGAAGAAGAAGAAGAATGATGATGATGATGATGGTGATGATAATGATGATGGTGATGATAATGATGATAATCATGATAATAATAATAATGATATTAATAATACTTGCGATAGTAATAATACTAGTGATGATAATGAAAATAATAATACTAATAATAATAATATTAATAGTAATAATAATAATAATAATAATAATAATAATAATAATAATAATAATAATACTAATGATAATGGTAATAATGATAATAATGAAGATGATGGTGGTGATAGTAATAATAGTAATAATAATAAGAAAAATAATAATAATGATACTAATAATCGTAATAATGATAATAATTAATAATTAATAATAATAATAATAATAATAATAATAGTCATGGTACAATTTGGCGAAAGTAGCGGTAGTCGGCTCGTTTTCTCTATTCTTGTTTTTGTCTGAATGCAATAGTCGGTAATCGATAGTAAACGTTAATTAAATGTATGAAGATAGTAATTAATACGAAAGCCGCGATTAATAATCAAAGACCATGTGGCGTGCGAGGGAGAAGGGGGTAGCGCGTAGGAGTGTCGGCCTAGAGACTATGTACAGGTGGTGGCGAGGATGGCGACGGGGTCTGAGTTTGCCCAGGAGTGCCGGGAGTCTGGGAGTAAGGACCAGCAGGCGGCTGCGGCTGCTGCTGCTGCTGCTGCTGCTGCTGCTGCTGCTGCTGCTGCTGCTGGTGATGATGGAGATGCTGCGGCTGCGATTGCGGCTGCGACTGCGGTTGCGACTGCGGCTGGGACTGAGACTGAGACTGTGACTGGGACTGGGTTTGGGTCTGTGACTGCGACTGGTAGCCGCCGGTATGGTGGTGGGAGGGGGACGACTGCATGCCCAGCATAGCACCCTGGGAGCTGTGATTCTGGTGTATGAGGTTGAGGTTCAGGGGGTAGGATAGGGGGGAGCCCAGGGCCGCGTGGGTGGCTGCTCCGGGCCCCACCGGGCTCAGTGCATGCTCATCCCGGCGTGAGGATGATGATGATGATGATGGTGATGGGCCGAGACGGATGCCGCCGCCGCCGCTGCCGCCGCCGCTGCCGCCGCCGCGTGATGATGAGGATGATGGTGCATTAGCGGCGGGAGATGCGGGTGGTGGGGATGGTGTTGGCTCAGAGACGAGGGATGCGTCATCTGCATTGGGGTCATGGGCGCCGTCGACTGATGCGACAAGGTGCTGTTGGCGCTGCTCTGCTGCGAGCTGGTGCCGGTGTCCTGGGAGCCCTGGGCCCCCGGCTGGCCCTGCTGAGCCCCCAGCTGCATTTGCCGCGGCTGAGGGCCCGGCTGGGCCTGCGGGGCCCCCTGGGTTACCTGGGACACCTGGACCAGCGCCGCCGCCGAGCTGGAAGTGGGACTCTGCTGACTCCCGTTGTCCTCGCTGTCGGAGCAGGACTCGGCCGACGAGCTCCCCGCTCCCCCCTTGCCCTTGCTGCCGCTGCTGCTGCTGCTGCTGTGGGTCTTGACGTGCTTCGCGAGATGATCGCTGCGCATGAACCGCTTGTTGCAGACCGGGCAGGCGAATCTCTTTTCGCCGGTGTGGGTTCGAAGGTGCCGCTGCAACTCATCCGAACGTGTGAACCGCTTGCCACAGAAAAGCCAGTTGCAAACAAACGGTCGCTCACCCGTGTGCCAGCGCAGGTGGGCCTTCAGGTGGGACGTCTTCCCGTAGACCTTGCCGCAGCCCGGTATGTGGCAGCTGTGGATGTTCTTCTTCCTTAGGTGGACACCCGCGGGTCCCAGTCGCTCGGCCTCTTGGCAGTTGGGGCAGTCGCAGGTGGCGCGGCCCGTGTAACGACGCTGGGACCGCGGCGACGGTGCCTGACCGACGACCCCGGCCCCGGCCCCGGCCGCGCTCTGGGGACTCGATGCCCCGGTGCCGGCGCCACCGCCACCGCCGCCACCGCCGCCACCGCCGCCACCGCCGCCACCGCCGCCGCCGCCGTGGTGATGGAGTCCAAAGCCTGGCGGGCCGCCCGGCAACATCGACTTGTACGTGTCTTGCAGCAGGTTGTGGCCCGCGCTCGTCTGGCTTAGCAGATGATTTCCCGCGAGGGCGAGACTCGTCGAGTAGTCCGCCGAGTAGTTGGCCATCTGGGCTGCGTGCACGCCCACGCCCACGGTGCCGCTCACGTCGAGCCAGCTACCGGTCGCGGCACCGTGCACGTCCCACCAGCCGTCGGTGGCCTTGATGCCACCGTGGCTCGCCCCGGGCATCGCGTTAAACGGCCAGGATTCGTAGGGGTGTCTACCGTAGACCGAGCACGAGCCCAGAGTGGCCCCCTCGACCTTGCCGAGGATGCTGCTCTGGTGATGATGATCGCTCGTAGCTTGGGCGCTAGCCGTCCCCGGAAAGTAGAGGTCGCTCGCGTACTGGGGCGCGGTCGAGGCGCAGGAGGTGACGGGGGCGCGAGCGTAGCCACCTCCGGCGCTACCGGCGCTGCTCGTCGCGGTCGGTCGTTGCGTAACACCGGTGGCCGTGCACCCGGTGCCCGTGTTACTTGTGTGCTGGGGCGAGCTGCCGCTGCTTTGCGGGCTCTTCTTCCAAGGGTGAAAGCCCTTACCGACTGCGGCGTCCGCCAATGGCGGCGGGCTCTTGCTGCTTAGCTTGTTGCACTGGGCGGCGAGCATCGCCAGTGGCGTGCCACGCAGTCCCGGGTGATCCTGAAACATAAAGCCAGACGTCTAATTGAGACAGGAGGCTCGTATCGCTCGATCGCCGCTACATCGCCGTTCCATCGTCGCTACCTCCCCCCCCCCCCCCCCCCCCACCCCCCCCCCCCCCCCCATCCCTTGGCTCATCGACAAGCCGCCGTACCAGCAGGTCCATCGCCAAAGGGCTTAAAATAATCGGGCCTCCGTGGGCGCCGATAAAGGTGACGGGACAATCAGCGGCTCTTATCACAATCCCCTTAATCAATGAGCCGACTTATTTGGTCGGGCTCTCGTTACGTGGCCTCGCGCTTCCACGCAACTACGCGACAAACGTCCCAAAGAGAGAGCGCATTATTAAGCAAATCAACGATCCTCCTTACCATTGTACCCGCTCCTCACCGTTTCGTCCATCGGTCACACCCTCCACCAAACCCCCGCCCAACATCGCAAGGATAATAATAAACGCCGTAATTGAAATGAGAGCGTGGCATGCATTCTCAGAAACCTACGGTATAAATCCCCGGCATTCCAAGTAATCAATTATGCTTTCCCAGAAGTAGAAAAGATAAAAAGTTTTATTCATCATAATTTCATTATTTTGGAGAGGTGTGTGTTTGTGCTAGCTAATAATATTTTGGAACTGGCGAGGGAGCTACAGGTCGGTAGGTAGACGGTCGCTCGTAATCGCGCTTGAAAATGGCTCAGAGGATATAAAAAGGGTCTAAAACGCCTTGTGTGTGCGAGGGGGCGATCGAGTGTATGGGCGAGCGCGCGCGCGCCCGCGCGCCTGTAAATGTGCACGTCGTTGCCGTCGGTCCTCCTTTGCTCCCAGGGTACCAAAAAGGCAAAAGTCCTCATCGAGGGTGCATAATAACAGAAAATTGGTGCCGCGCTCCTAGCCTAGAGAGGAAAAGAGCCAAAGAGATTGCGCCCGAGCAGATTGGAGCAAGTGAGTGAGAGATTGAATATTGGCCTTGTCGTGGGGTAATGAGGCCCGTGGCGGTTTATCTGGAGCAGTTTTATGCAAATTGTCTCGGTCGTACGTGTTCGGAGGTTGGCACGGGCAATGTGATTGTCGAATATTTTCCTCTTCATGCCATGTCCGAGGCGAATCGATTAAAAATATTGAAATATTACGGCCAATCTACTTTCCATTTAGTATTAAAGCCTGACAAATGGCAATTCTATACGATCAAACGCGAGTTGGTAGGCTAACTAAGCTCTATTTGCTTCATTTCTACCGTCCTTCGTTCCACTTTCCTTCGACTTCAATACTACAATGGCAATAAGTAGTCGCGCCCGAATTACTTAACGTCTCGGCTAAGTAATGAGAGCTCGCCCCGAGGTACTGGACTATCCATCGTCAACGACGTAATATCATAATAAAATCATTCGATAAGGAAATTGCGGCAAGTAGCGTAGCTGGTTATTTGAATTCGATCGATTAGACGATTCGCATGCGAAACGCGTAATAGAAATGAAATTGATTGGGAAGGCGCGTGTGGTAAATAAAAGGCGCTCGACTCGGCTTCCTTGTCAATGCGCAGATTCGGTTTTGTCGGATCGATCGCTCGTCCTCAAAGGCATCTCCATTAAATTAATGAAAATACCACAAAGTTGGCGAAATTACGGGCGATAAGTATGTGCAAGTGACTCGCGCAAGAAGAGAAATGGGCTAGGACGGGACGAACGAAAGTGGTAGGATCTTTGGGGG